AAATATAATCAGTTATTTTAATAATCTAATATTTTTAGTCTAATTGCTTTTATTAAATAGCAGTCTTTTATTATTATATCTCTAAATTATTATTCTATAAATATAAGATTATCTCTTAAAGTTTAGAATTATATATATTCAAGTATAAAACTTTCGCAGTATATATTTATAATATTATAAATTAAGAAATAAATCTTTTTTAAAATAAATTTTTCTAAATAGCTTAGTCAGCTATTTTTATATCAGCTTAATTATTAAGATTTTTTAAGCTTAATATAATACAGATATTAAATCCAGAATAATCTTATATATCTTAAAATTTAAACTAGATTTTTTTTTTAATAAGATTTTTTATTATCAGAAATAATATATTTATAAATTATACTTAAATTAAGATTAATAGTTTTTCTTAAGAAGTAGATTTTATTTAAGATTTAGAAAATATTCTAAAGAATCTATCTGCTAAATTTAATTTCTCTGTTTTATATTTAATAATAAAATTATAAAAAATTAGACTTATAAATTATTAAACTTATTTTTTATTAATCTAAATTTAATATATAAAAAATTATAAGTTTAAATAGTCTGATAGAATCTTGATTATTTAAAAAATATCTTCTAAATATTATTACTATTATTTAAAAGAATAAATAATAATAAATAGCTCTTAATCTAAAATATTATAATTTAACTCAGCATCAGAGAACTTACAGAATTAAAATATAATTAAATAAAATATATTCTTAATATTAGATTAAAATAAAATATTATTTATTTTTTCTTTTAATATATCAGTTTCTAAACAGCGGGATTTTATAAAATTAAAATATATTAATAAAAATATTTATTAAAAAACAGTAATCAGACAACAGAAAATAATTTATTTAATTAAGATTAAATAAATCTTTTCTAACTTCCGCCTGTTAATTATTTTATAAAGTAAAAAAATAAAAAATAAGATAATATAAAAGTAGTCTTAAATAAATTATTAATAAAAATTATAAAATTTAAGAAAGATCTAAATATTATAATAATTTTTAGAAATTAGTTATAAAATAATATTATTTATTTATTAAGAATCTATAAATACTTTGTTAGAGTTAATAATATATCTCAGAAATTTAACTTAAAATTAATAAAATAAATATTTTAATAACTTTATATAAAGCTAAGCTTTTTAAAGTCTTTTTAAAATTTAATAAATATACTTTATATAAGATTTCTTATTTAATAAAAAAATAAGAATATTATTCAGATATACTATATAAAAATTATTAAGAAATTCTTAAAATATAATATATATATAATTTTAGAAAGTTACTGAAGTATTAATTAATTTAAATAATATAATTATATATTTAAAATAGCTATATTAGATATAAAATATTATCTTTTATTTATTATCTTTTTTAATATAGATTTAGTAGTATATATTCTTAATATTAATTTTTAAAAAATAGATACTTTCTGAAATTCTGTTAAAAATCTCTGAAATAAAAAATAAAAAATAATAATTTTTAATAGAAATCTTATTAAGATCTCTATAGTCTATATAAAAATATAAATTATTATTTTTTTTAAATATAAAAAAAATAGAGATTTCAGTAGAACTCTTTAAAAATTAAATTTAATTTAGTTTTAGATTCTTTTTAATATATTCTTATAAAATCTTAAGTTCAGCTTTAAATAAAAAATATATTAAATTATAAAAAAATATTTTATTAAATTTAATATTAATAATATAATTCGCAGGGCTATAAGAGAATAGCTGTTAAAAAAAATTTATAAAAAATATATTTTAAAACTACTTAAGTTTAATAAAAATTATCTTAGAATTTAATAATAAATTATAAAATTCTTCTTCTAATAATCAGATATCTTCAGAAAACTTAATAATAATATATATTCTTATTAAGTTTTAAGTTACTTTAATAAATTAAGTAATAAAAAGCAGTAAAATAAATAATATATTAAATTATTACTGACAGTTCTATACTAATAAGATAATATATAAATTATAAAATATAATTATTAAAAATAGTACAGAATTATTTTTTAATTAAAAATTCTAATTAATCTCTATATAATATTATTTAAAAATATAGATATCTTCTTATAAATTAATAATAATAATAGAGACTTTCTATATATTATAAATAAAAGTAATAATTTAATTAATAGCTTTAATCTTTAGCACAGTAATTAGAATATATTAAAAATTATAGACTTTAATAAACTAATAACTAATAATATCTATTTCGGCGCAGCTATCTAGATCTGTAAAAATTTTAAGACTATTTTAAATATAAATAAAAATATAAAAATAATATATAATCTTTATTATAAATAAAAAAATTAAAATTATAGAACTTATTCTAATTTTTTTATTTTTCTTTTTAAATTTAATAAGAATTAGTAGATTCTAGCAGATTAAATTCTTTTATTTTTAATAAAATATTAATTTATAAAATATTAAGTACTTTTATATATAAAGTATTATAATTAATTATTATTCTTTTTAATAAGATTTTTTCTGTAATTTAAGATATCTTTTTTAATAATTTTACTAATAATTTCTTAAAAGTACTTGTATAACTTATAATTACTAAATTAATTATTATTTTACTTATATTTTTCTTTATTTTCTTATAATTTATAATAATAAATAATAATAATTATTATTTTATTCTACTTCTCTGATAGATAGAGAATATATTTTTAAATATAATAATTTAAATCTAATAGTAGCTTAGTAAAGTAGAATAAAATTTTTTTTTTTTTTATTTAATAAGAAAAATATTATTTTAAGATATTAAAATAAATATAAAACTCTTGCAGATTCTGACTGTATTACTAATAAGTCTGTTTAAATTAAATTATAATATCTAATTAAAAAATAGCAGTATTTTAAATTAATATAAAAGTCTAATTTTTAAATTAAAACTATAATTTCTTAAGAAATTATCTCTCTTTCAGACTCTTATTATTTATAAAATAATATTATCTCTGTTTATATACTAGATTTATATAACTAATAATAGTAAGAATCTTATATTTCTTTAATAAATATTTCTTAAGTATATCTCTAAATATATATTTTAAATTAATAATTTATTTTTAATATTTTTAAAGATTAAAGTTCAGAGTAAAATAAGAAATATTTTTAAATTTAATCTCTCTCTTATTCTTTTTTAATTTAGAAGAGAATTAATAATATTTTAAAAAGATTTTACTTAAGAAGTTATTTTTTTAAAAATAAGCTATTCTTTACTATAAGTTAATAGCTTATTTTAATTAATAAATATAATCTTCTAGCTGTTAAATCTCTTTAATAATAAAAATAATATTTAATAAAAATTCTGAATTAATTTAATTACTAAGTACTTTTATTTTTTTACTATTTTTAATAAATAATATCTTTCTTAGATAATTAAAAAAAGAAGAATCAGAATATAATAGAATCTATTTATTAGAATAAAAAGTTTATTAACTAGATAAAAAATTAATTATAAAATATTATATATTTATTTAATAATAATAAAGATAGTCTATATTTATAAGATAGACTAATTCTTAAAGAATCAGTAGCTTCTTACAGAGAGATCAGTATCTTATAAATATCAGAGAGATATAGAATCACTATTAATAATCTTATAACTCTCATAATTACTATAATACATCATCCTGATAATCTTTATCCCGATAGCTGGGTTATTCTATCACATAATTCTCTAGATAATTTAAAAAATATTCTAAGTATATGTAAGGGATGATATCCGCGGGATATGCATACTTACAAGGGTGAAGCCCGCCTCCTCCCGGGTGTACCTGAGTATATATATGGGATTCTAGGGGTCCGCAGGTAACTGCGGGTAATGTTAGTCTTTTGGCTCAGTGGCAACAACTCCCCTAGATTGATGTCTTACAGTATAAAAAAAATATACTTAAGTTATAAATATTAATAAAAAATAGACTTATAATCCAGAGATACTTAAAGATTAATTTTAATAATATAAAGAGATTATATTAAAATATAAAATTATCTTTAATAATATATAGAATTTTAATAAGACAGACTTTTAAATAAATATTAAAAAAATTAATAAATTATTACTCAAGATTTTAAACAGTATAATCAGTATTACTATATTAAAAGTAATATAAATTAAGAATATATAATTATTATAAAGATTATAATTAAAAAGATCTTATCTCTTTTTATTTTAATATCAGAAAAGTATATCTTAAAGAATTAATTTAATTATATTAAAACTGGGCCAGGATTACTATCCTTATATTAATACTGATTTCAAGTAGAATATTTTCTGCCCGCTAAGACAGTAAAGTAAATATTTTTCAAATAACTCTATAGCTGATTACTAGGGGCGGGCCGCTATACCCAATTTTGAATTGAAATGTTAATGATAAATGACCATTGCAGAAGGTCTCTAATGGCTACTCTCCGCCTCTCAAGCCCGTCGTCCCCGCAGTCGTCGGTTGAAGGGATGGCTCACCACCATCTTCCCTCCCCTTCAGCATCATGTTCAATGCAGTTAGTTTTCTTTCAATCTAGAATTAACCATCTGCTCAGAACGGACCAGTGGGTTTCCTGCCTTTCGTAGGGCCCCCATTAGATCCAATATAATCGAGTGCGAGTCTATCGGCTAGCTAGACTGGTATCTATCTTATGGAACCCCGGCGCGGCCCAGACATGACTTCATCCGTGCTTCCGGGCAAATGGGAGGGGTAGGGGTAGCTCTTGGATATTTGGCCCTATTAGGTGAGCGCCACGACAATAGGTGTCAAAAATAGCGTTGTATTGCATTATCATGACCCCAGTCTGTTGTTCCCCTCCCATGTTATGTTATCAGCCGGAGACCATGACCTTCCTAGCTAGAAGGTTGTCGAGACATGTTATATAAGTATGTGCCTCTAATTGTGAAGTAATTCTCCTCGCAAAGTCTACTACTTTTTCGTACCACATCATCGGGTTATTCGAGATGTCCTCGCAAGTTGGCGCGGAGGCTATACTCGCCCGGAGAAGAATGCAAAATCGGTTGGCACAGCGGAAGAGACGTGAGTAATATCTACCTACCAGAGAACATCAGCTCCAGCTGGGCCTCGTTCAATCACATGGCTAAATACCCAGCATCTAGGGCAAAAGATGAATGAGAGGGGTAAACGCGACCCAAAGCAGTTGTCTGGGGCATCTCATTCACCGGAATATGGGTCCGGTACCATGATAGAGCAGCAGCATTCTGCAACAGCCAACCACCAGGACGCGGTTGAGGACGAATACTTTACAATGTTAGCCATGCCCGACCTTTCACTCAGCAATGATGATGATATCGGACAACCGCAAGGCGAGGCTCAACAGGTCCAAGATATCACGATTCTCACGTCAAATAATTTGGTTGCTAATCAATTGTTCAATGAACAGCAGATCTTGTCGGGAATGGTCGATCCTTCCTCGACGCTGGGAAGCATTACGGAGGACTCGGGAGATGCTTCCGGCTGGGAGGCCTATTTTTCCAATACCGAGGGAGGCAAAAAAACACCGGTGCTTGAGGTGAACCATCGTCCAGAGTTGGAGAACACTAGCACCCAACTGGATGATGGCAGCCTGGTCGATTGCTCGTCGGAAGATCGCTCGAATCGGGGGGAAACATATCAGTAAAAGATCCATCGAGTGGTATCAGTACAGATCTGGGTTCCTTCGGCTCCATTGGAAATCATGATGGGGCTATAAACGGAAAGGCAACTCATAATGCCCTACACAAGCCTAAATCACCACCAGCACAAGCTTCCATCATCGTCCGGCCCGGGGAAACATGCGATATAAATCCACAAATGGATTTGGATTCCGTCCACGGGCTCCGAAAAGACGGTGGAAAGAAAAAGCCGGGCAATCCTAGTAGACCGGACTTGGCTCCACATCAACCTATGCCCTTGACAATCAAATCGCGCTCATTGTTGGCGATGTCCAGTTGCGGAATGACTGCCATCCATTTAGGTGCGGTCGAAGGACATGTGCTCGCGATGGAGCTTCTTATCGAATATGGCCTTGATGTGGATCTGGTAGACTGCCATCGGCGTACTGCACTGCACATCGCTTGCATTACTGGCCATGCACACATCGTGACCATTCTGCTGCAAGAAGCGGCCAATACTGAGATGGTGGATATTAATGGATATACGGCTCTTCATCTGGCTTCGCAAGCGGGAAATCATGAAATTGTGCGACTGCTCCTGGAGAGCGGAACGAATTGCACCACCCGTGTAGGGGATAAATGTAAGCAAGCACCTGTAATGAACTGAGTGGTATCAGTATGGGGTGTTTTCTGATTTTCCTTTTTCTGTCCTTCCCATGTGGTATGTTGTGTGCTCACTCTCTATTGCTTTTCTATTTCTCTTGGGGTTAGTGTAACTCCTCTTGCACTCTCTATTCGATTATTTAATTACTACCCAGACGACATCGTTACATTCCACCAGCCATCAAGCATGCGTATTGTGCTCACTCCATTCTCAATGGTCCACTGCCGAATATCCTCAAAATTCCGACATCTGTGAATAGTGTCGAGGTCGACTCCTAACTGGGACGACCCTCCGCCGCCATGTACTCGGAGTTTGGTATACACCCCGGGATCTGCCCAGCACATAATGGCCTGCCGGAGACGCTCGACGCATTGATCGGTCCGTCTCTTCAGTTGCTCTTCTGAGCTGCCCAGAAGGTTGGTGTAGTTGTATTCCTGTCGATGACTATATTGCCAGAGGAAATGCAGACAGTGAAGCTGGACAAACACTTCCGGAAGTGCAATCACTTGATCATTGTTCGTGGGGAATGGTTGAGCCAATCGCAGATTATCAGAATGCTTCAGGTCCTTCAATCGCGAGATTGGAATCGCGATGGGATGTCCTAATTGAAAATGTCAGCTCTCGGCGCCATGCCTGGATATCTTTCATTGTCTCATTCGAATGAACTGACGGGGTAAGAAATCAGCCCATGCTTGTTCCAGATCCGCGGTGAGGTCCAGTTTGAAGAATGCGTCCTCCGTGAAGAACGGTGTGTTGTTGAAGGTCGTCCACTCATATGATAGAATGTTCTCTGCTGGGGACCAGGAATAAAATATGCTGTTGCACCAACTGCCGTCCAGGATTGGGCGAATCGACTGTTTTAGGATATAGATGGATAACACGCAGGCGATGAACGATAATGTGTAGTCGAGGTTTCTTTTTTGTGATTGCCTAAAATGCATTTTGGTCCTGGAATCGACGCTTAGGTTTGAGGTGATATTCTATTAGCAATGAAAGTGTATACTGTTCAGGAGGGTGGTCAGACGCTGTCTAGATGCAACATAGGAAGGCCATGAGCGCTGACTATTTTAGGCCATGGTTGCTGACCGCTGCTGACAGGGGCATAAACATCTTGTTCAGGGAGGTCACCTTTCGTGTGTTTCTTGCACCTAGGTTTTTTTTTTTTTATTATTTCTGGGTCTCATACATTTTAACTATTCCATGGCTTCGTTGTGGAAGGTAACTCGGTCCTATTGGGCTAGGATCTCATCACCCTATCTCCCGGTCCGCAGCACTGAAGACGTTGATGAGATTGACGAGCCACTTGGAACCGAGTCAAAGAACAGTGTTCAGCCAAACGATTCATTTCATCTGCGATACTTTTGGCCAAGTCTTTGCTTTCTAATAGGCTCAATTGCATTCTCAACCGTTCTTTCATCCCATTCACCGTCAGATGGCTACTGCGAAGGGAAACTCTGGGCTTGGAGTAGGATTCACTAGACACAGTTAAACCTCCGTGTTTCTCTTCTCTGATCCAGAGATATTCTCAGGTCCCATGCTCGGCAATGCAAAGTACAAATGGCAACAGCTGGATGCGGAAATGCTACCAGACGCGTTATATGGAGGCCCTCCTTCCGATGAGCGACGGAATGCCTGGGATCAAACCATGGAAGGTAAGGCCAGGAATAGTACACTACATTCCAAACTTGGCCTCATAGTGATTATTCCCTCGCTGCAGATGGCTTTATTGGCTTTCCCCGGAACCAGATGAATAAGATTAACAAATCTATCGATGAAGACTGGTGGTGGTTACCCCCTCCGCACGAGAACCAAGTGATCGCTGCTCCGGAATGTAAGTTTGGCAATCCTCCACTACCAACATATGGGCTGACATGCGTTCTACTTATCAAGACTATCACCAATTGCACTGCGTACGTCTCCTTTGGCTGCATGCTTATCGCGACCAGTGGGATTACACGGAGGGGGGGAGCATGTCGCCCTCTCGGTTTGCCGTGCACACCAAGCACTGTTACCTGGCTTTGAAGCGGATGCTCGAGTGTCAGGCTGACATATCTCCGGTCTTGTTCGAGGAGGCCAGCAGCGTGGAGGGGTCTGGCGTTTGGAAGCCCCTGAATGCGCCACAAAAGTGTAAGGATTTCAGCGCTGTCCTTGAATGGCACGCAGATCATACTGTCTGTGAGCGTCCATGTACATATACATAGTTAGTTATTCTAACCAAACACGTTGTTTCCATCTATTTTCTGTACTAGGCGAAGTAACCCTTTTATAAATAGACTGCTATTGGTCAAGGTATGCTGACTAGGATGACCGTGGCCCTGCCAGGCTTGATATGGCTTTATCCCTGTGAACTTAACTGCCCCTCCTTCTGCCTATACTATATAAGTGCCCGTTACCCACCCATCACTCCTGGGACCATTTTACCATCTACATCAAGAACTTAAAGCCGCAGCTATAACTCTTTCCCTCATATATACATATAAACATACCACTCACACATCCTCAAATCACCACATAGTCTCATTTCCCCATCACCACCACCACCACCACCACCGCGACCCAATTCCGCTTCTCAACCGGCGCCGTGGGCACCAAACAACAAGTCCCCGACTTCCCCTGGGACTACCCCGTCCCCCAAGCCCCCTTCTGGGACACATTCGAGCACAACAAAGCTCACAGTTTCCTCGTCTGCTTCACCGACGACGAACTCCAGCAGTTTTCCCTCACCTGCGAACCCGAATAAATCTCCGCCCCCCAGCCCGCCAAACTCACCATGCTGCGCACCCTCCTCGAGCAAAAACTCCGTGCCGAATAATTCATATACCCCGACCCAGAGGGATTCCAAAAAGCCGACCCGAAGCTCTGGAGCAGACTCTGGATGGCCATCTCGGGAATCGATCGAGATCTCGGCCGACTGAATGACGCGGAGCGCGGACTGAGGCTGTTGGTGGCGGCGGAGCCGGAGAATCTGGCGCTTGTGTATAATCTGGCTTCGTTTCTGGTGGACGAGACGAGCCAGTATGAAGCTGCGAGGGGGTATGCGTTGCGGTTGAGAGATGGGTTGGATGGGAAATTGGTGAGGGCGTCTCCGCAGGCTATTGGGACGAGGAAGACTCTGGCTACGGTGTCGTGGAAGGAGGGGGAGATGGACCGCGCGAAGGCGGAGATTGAGGAGGTTTGGAAGTGTATTGATGAGTTGAAGGGGACGAGGTTTGAGGTCTATGAGGAGGAGGAGAGTGTTAGTGCCAGGGAGTGGTTGGATGGGTTGGAGAAGTGGGAGGTGAAGGCTCCGGTTCCGGTAGTGGTGGGTTGATGGTATTGGCTTGTTTAGTCTGGAGTTGAGTATGAAGGGGATTGGGGAATGTTTATTTGAGTACTGTGTGGTTGTTTGCTTGGAGAATTGGGTGGTTTGTTGGTGTTGTGTGGAGGATGAGTATGGGCTGGTAGACATCCCCATCTCTCTGGCCCCGTATAGGTTGTGGTCGGAATAGAGTGCCATATGTGGGTATTAATGGCTGATATGAAGAGGGCCACATATAGTATAGAGCTCGAATATGGTCAGTCATGGACGGCGTTTCAATAAGCTGAAAGACGAGCAAATTAGGATATATCGTCTGTTTGTTATCCGCATCTGGAAAATATATGGATTGATAGTGCGTTGTCATCATTCGTTACTGAAGATGTAATGATCTTTGCTATCTCATAAAAACAGAAAGTAGAGAGACGGCGCATTTAGTAGATTGGATTGTAAGAGGAAAAAAGCTGAGATCTCCGCGGAAAACCTCGACGATAGCTGTCGTGTGTGTGAGTCGCAGTCGAAGGAAGTGTTTTGAACTGGCCCGAAGCGAAAGCTGTGATTGGTCAATGTGGGATCCAGACCGATGCCACGACTGACTTGACAGACAGGGACATTGCTGGCAGTGTGTTGACAGGGTAACCTCCTGTGTTTGCGTAGGCATTGCACTCTCCACCTATCAGGGGTCAACAGTTAATCACAAGAGTCAGGAATCAGAATCATCCCAGGATGTTGCATGCTGCATCCACATCCACATCCACATCAACAGCAGCGCGACGCGTCCCGAGGGGGAGACGGAGGGCGGTGGGCGGCGACGGGCGGCGGTGATTGACTGACCGGCTGTCACGCCCTCTGCTTCTGCGCTCTGCCGTCACTTTGAACCAACTTACCACCGATCGAAGCTCCCCCCCAATTCTCCTCTTCCTCCTCCTCCTCCTCCTCCTCCTCCTCCTCCGCCGCTCCTCTCCTCCTCCATCTCCATTCGATCCCCCTCCCCCTCCCCCCTCTCCCTACTGGTCGATCCTTCATCATCGATATCTCCCACCTATCCTTTTCGCCCCCTCCCACCCAGCGAAGCGCATGGTGTGTTGAAAGCTTACTCTCTCGGTTTCCCCGCGCTTCGTCCACGATGCCCGCGCGCACTCGTCAAGGCCCCTCCGTCGCCTCGGAGGTCGTGGACCCGGAGGACAACTCGGCCGGTCTTCGCAACCTCAAATTCAATGAACCCCTCTCCTGGCGCGTCGGCCGCTCCGCCATCCCCATTGCCGATCTGCTCCAACGCCTGCAGACCCTGGCGCAGGAGCTCCGCAAGCTCGAGCAGGAGGAGATCGAAACCGAGTCGCTGAAGAAGGTATCGCAGGAGCTTGCGACCGCTCACCTGCTGGCGCACAAGGACAAGGGGGTGCGGGCGTGGGCGGCGTGCTGTATCGTCGATGTCTTGCGTCTCTGCGCGCCCGACGCGCCCTTCACGGGCAACCAACTGAAGGTGCGACAGCCGTTGACCCCCTGACTCGAACCATCGCGTGCTCGCACGAGCGCGCCTCGTTGCGCAAATGACACTGACTGGCTGCGGGAAATTATTAGGACATATTCACCTGCATAGTCACCTCCATCATCCCCGCATTAGGGGACCCGTCTAACCCCTACAATGCCCAGCATATCTACGTCCTCAACTCATTGGCAGAGGTGAAGAGTATCGTGCTCATGACAGATCTCGACCATCCCGACTCCTTGATCATCCCGCTGTTTACGAGCTGTTTTGACATCGTGTCTGGATCCTCAAAGTCGTCCACGGGGGAGGAGGTCGCCAAAAACGTCGAATTCGACATGACGCGCCTGCTCGTGACCGTTATCGATGAATCGCCCGTCCTGGCAGCGGATGTGGTGGATGTTATAGTGGCGCAATTCCTGCGCATCGACCCTCGTGCCTTGGAAATTCCGAGCAAGAAGCCGAAGAGAGGTGATGCGCCGCTTGATGACAAGCAAGGAACGCTGCTGTTGAAGGACTATCCGCCCGCTTACAACATGGCCAAGGCTATCTGCCAGGCGTGCCCGGAACGGATGACGAGCCACATTAGCCAGTACTTCAACAACGTCATCATCGATGCGTCCGCCGAGGGTGCGAACGGGTCCTCGAAGCATCACCGCAGACCTAACCTGGAAGATTCCGACGAGGAGGGTGAAGACATCAAGGAGCTGAGCAAGGCGCACCGGCTGATCCGAGAACTGTGGAGAGGATGTCCCGAGGTGCTGCAGAACGTTGTTCCCCAATTGGAAGCTGAATTGTCGGCGGAGTCGCTATCCTTGCGCCTGCTGGCTACACAGACGATCGGTGATCTAACTGCTGGAATCGGGGTTGCTGGACCACCCCCGCCTCCACCGATGGACCCGACCGCCTATCCGCCAGTGACATTGGCGGAATATGCCCAGACGATCCCTCAGCCCAGTGTGCTTCTCACGCCATTCTCCCCGAAGCCCTTTTCACAGACACACAGCTCCACCTATGAGAACTTCTTGAGTCGGAGACTGGATAAGTCCGCCTCAGTCCGGGCTGCCTGGGTGACCGTTATAGGTCGCATCCTGCTGACGTCGGCTGGTGGCTCTGGATTGAGCGACGGCGAAGAGCAGACGCTGATCAAACACATCACTTCCATGCTGCGGGACGCGGACGAGAAGGTCCGCTTGGCTGCAGTGGATGCCATCAGCAACTTTGGCCTGACTCACGTGGTGAACAAACTGGGTGCCAGTGGGGGCTTCTCGAGCGAAGATTCCGTGTTCTTTATTCTGGCGGAACGAGTCAAGGATCGCAAGCCACACGTCCGTGAGGTTGCCATGAAGACCCTAGCCCGGATGTGGGCGGTTGCTGCAGGCGAAATCGAGGCGGGCAATGATCAGGTCGCCTCTCTCCTCAAAGATGGGCCGTCGAAGATATTCGATGCTTTCTACACGAATGACCAGGATATCCATGTTCTGATCGACCGTGTCATGTTCGAGATTCTGCTACCGCTCAACTATCCTCCCGTGAAGACCAAGTTGACACGGAGTAGCTCGAGTCAGTCCCAAAAGCAGAAGGATTCTCAGGCCTCGGAAGCCGACTCTGATATTGACGTCGACAAAGTCCGAGTCCAGCGCATCCTTACTCTTGTCCGGAGTCTCGATGAGAAGGCTAAGAGAGTGTTCTTTGCCATGCAGGACCGTCAAGTAAAAATGGCAAAGGTCATGGAGGGCTATCTGGAGGCCTGCGAGCACTACAACGTAAGTTGATTCTATCTACTGAACGTGTCGGTACTAATCAGAATTCAGGGTGGTGTGATGGAGAAGGACCAAGACCAGATCAAAGCCCAGTTGAACAAGTACATTGACGCGTTGTCCAAGACTCTCCCTGATCCCTCACGGGCATCTGCGGACCTGTGGAAGTTTGCCAAAGCACACGACCGCCGTAGCTACCAGCTGATTCGCTTTGCCATGCGCGCTACCAGTGACTATCGGACCGTTATCAAGGCCATTAAAGAGCTGGCGAGAAGGCTACAAAGCTCCAATAATGCGCCCCTGCTGGAAACTCTCACGCCCATCCTATACCGCTCCAGCTCAATAGTGTATAACAGGAGTCATATCCCGGCCATCATGAGCATCTCGAGGTCGGATGAGAATGGACTGGCGAATTCTGCACATGAAATGCTGCGGGAGATCTCCTCTCGTAACCCGGAGGTATTGGAGGCACAGGTCCAGGAAATGTGCAAGGATGTTGAATCGCGGGCACCCACTCCCAAGACGAAAGACGGCGCTGGCACCGAAGAGATCCTCAAGGCGTGCTCCGGGTTCGCGAAGAAGCTCCCATCCAAGCTCCCCAACGACCGCAATTTTCTCCAGGCCTTGGTTAGCTATGCGCTCCATAGTCCGTCGCCCAGGGCCGCCAAGCATGCGGTCTCAATTCTGATGGCTGTCACCGATAAGAAGGAAATGTACGCGACGGATCTGGTCGAGAAGTGCGTCAAGAACTGGACCTACGGGTCTGACCGGTTCCTGACGAAGCTGGCGACCTTATCGCAGCTGAACCTTTTGGCTTCGCGGGAGGCGGACGAGGAGAGCGACGCGATCATCAAGATATCCGTCAACCAGATCCTCCTGACCAACCGCTCGCCACAGCCGAACGACGGGTATTCGTGGTCAGATGCGATGGACGACGAGACCGCTGCGAAGGAATGGGCTCTCAAGATCATCGTCAATCGGCTCAGGGCCAAGGATGGCTCGGACGACCAGGATGACTTCCGCGCCCATGCACAACCCGTCTACGACACTCTGAACAAACTCATTCTGAATGACGGCGAGCTGTCCAAGAAGAAGGACACGCCTGCGGCGCAGAAGTCTCGACTACGCCTTCTCGCAGCCAGGTCGCTACTAAAGCTCTGTGCGTCCCAGGGCCTGTGCGACCAGTTACTCACCCCGCGGGACTTCAACGCAATTGCCTTGGTGGCCCAGGATCCTGTTCTGGAGGTGCGAAGTGGTTTCATCAGTCTGCTCAAGAGAAAGGTGCAAGACTCACCCCTGAGCTACCGTTGGTACACAGTGCCGTTCCTGCTTGCCTTCGAGCCTCAGGCGAGTCTGCGGGATAGCACGCTCACCTGGCTACGGTCCCGGGCCGGATTCTTCTCCCAGCAGAACAACGGCAAAAGGAGCGAGCAGACAGTCATGGAGTCCGTCTTCTCGCGTCTCCTGTCTCTTCTCGCGTACCATCCCGACTACCCCCCAGCTGATATGGATGACTCGACCCGGATAAGCGAACTAGTCGACTTCGCACGCTACATCCTCTTCTACCTGCAGGCCGTAGCCAACGAGCACAACCTGTCGCTGATCTTCCACATCGCCCAACGCGTGAAACAAACGCGCGACGGCATCACCAAGACCGACGAGATGAGCACCCGTCTCCACACGCTTTCCGACCTTGCCCAAGCTACGATCCGTCGGTTCGCCGACGCCTATTCCCAGCAGCGCAAGTTCGGCGGCGGCGCCGCCGGCGCCACCAACCTCCTACAGACCTACCCGGGCAAGATGGGCGTGCCCAGCTCCATCTTCGCTCCCATGGGCAGCCACCGCGAGGCGCAGGAAGTTGCCGACAAGAACTTCTTCCCCGAAGACGGCGAAGACCTGCTGGATCGCATCGTGCGGTCCGTGATGAGGGCCAAGAGCGGGTCTCAGGCCGCAGCGAAGAAGAGAAAGCCCGAATCGGCGGAAACGGGCGGCGAGGCTAGCGCTACGAAGAAGGTGAAGAAGGAGAAGGAGCGGCCTGCTCGGGCGCGTAAATCGTCTGGCTCGGCCGGCACGTCCCGCACACCGAAGCAGACGCCAAAGCAGAAGAAGAAGGACGAAGACGGTTGGTCCTCCGACGAGGGTGCCGCGAAGGCGAGCTCCGCTGCTGCCAGGAGACGCAGCAGCCGCGGAGCCTCGAGAAGGGTTAGCTACGCGGACCGCGACAGCGATGAAGATGACCTGGAGATGGACGACTGGGACGAGGAACAGGCAGAGGACGAACAGGATGAGGATGAAGATGAGGACGTGGACGTGGACGTGGACGAGAAGAGCGAACCCGAGGCCGACAGCGAGTCAGAGAAGGAGAACACCCCCGTCAACCAACCAGAACCGAAAGAAAAAGAGAAGGCAAAGCCCGTCGCCCTCGACGATCTCCTCAGCGACGACGCCGACGACTCCCCTCTCTCCTCCCCGCCCCCCATGGTCAGCCCGAAGAAAGCCAAATCCAAGGGCAAGCAATCCGCCACTCTCCCCACCCGACGATCTCGAAGAGGATAGGTAGCTTTCTACTTTCTACTCGACTCTTTTACTTTACTTCACCACCTGACCTTACCTTACCTTACCTGGTCTTGTCTAGCCAAGTATGTATGTATCAAAACTGTGACGCATGGAAGTTTGTTCGATCTGTTTGATTGTTTGATTGTTTGGTTTACTATCTGTCTGTGATGGAGCGAGTCTTTGTTTTTATCCGATGTCTTCCTTCTTCAATCTATATTTTATCTTACTTTACTTTACTTCATACCTTCAATTTACATTTTCCTGATCCATGATCTTATTTGATTGAAATCTTGATGTCGATCTTCGTCTGTTTATTTTTTTTAAGTACTTGACTTGATTTACTTGACTTTGTTAATGTTAATGTCAATCTTGTCGGATCGGGGTGTGGAGTGCGGAGTGCGGATCCAGTGTGTGATCTGGACTAGGTTAGGGCGAATTAAACTGAACTGGTTCGGCTTAAGCTGTGAATACCCATTCATTCATTCATTCATTCATTCATCTATTATCTGTTCTATTCTTAATTCCTACTTATCCAGCTATTTATCTATCTATATTCCCTTGTTTCTGAGAAATTCAGAAATCAGGTTCTTTGATTATTCATCATCATCATCATCATCATCATCATTCTTCTTCTTCGTCTCGTCTTGTCTCTTCTCGTCTCGTCTTATCTCCTCTATACTTCCTTTCTATATTTCTATCTCCAACTCCAGAGATATAAAATAAGACAGACAGACAGACAGACAGACAATTAAAATCCCAACTGGAGTCTTCGTCTATCAATATTCTCCCTCTCTTTTCCTCAGAAAGACCTCTTTATTTCTCAATTTCTTCCCTTTTTCCTTGCTTTATCCTATTTTCCTTCTTTCTTTTTGTTTTGTTTTGTTTTACTTTACTTTATTTTGTTTTCAATATACCCCTGACTACCAACCCAACCCAACGTAACCCAACCCCCAACAGTACCGCATGACTCTTCCACTTTTCCACTCTCCCAAGCTATGCAACTGCAAGAAATTATAATATCGATGTTAGTATGCTATTTATATAAGCTGAGCTGCTGTTGCTAATTGTAAATGTAAATGTAAATGTAAATGCTATCTATTATGTTATGTTATGTTATGTTATGTTCACATCCCACACGCTTGCTTGCTGGCTGCTTTTTCGCATACCCATGCCATGCCATGCTATCCATCCATCCATCATAAACCGATCGAATAAACATTACTCATTTGTCCAAAAGAAAAACAAAAACAATATATAAAACCATCCAAAACGCCGTGCTGATGCATGTATACATGCGTGGGAATGTAAGCTATACAAGTTTTCAATCCTAATCCCGGGCTCTGTTTGGGGTAGGGGGACTCAGGGGAACTTCTTTTTTTTTTTTCACACACACTTTCTGTCTTTCTCTTTCTCTTTCTCTCTCTCTCTCTTTTTCAATCACGACATCCTCCCCCATCACAACTTGGGGCTAAACTTACTCATCGCCCTCAACCTCTTTCCATAGAAAAAGAAAAGCACGGGGATGGGAATCATCGCGATGGTAATGAACCCCAGAAGACTGGACGCCCAATCAACACCCAACTTATCATACATCTGGGTGGCGAAGAGCGGAAACGCGCCGCCCAGACTACTCCGGATGAGGGTGTTAGCGGCGATAGCGGAGTTGGCGAACATCAGATAGACGTCGATGATGTAGTTGAGGCCCTGCATGAAGATGACCAGAATGCCCATGCCCATGGGGATACCGGCGACGACCTGCGCGCCCCACGAGATGCTGGGGTCGGAGGTCCAGCCGAACCAGAACAGGCCGGCGGGGAGGAGCACCGACGCGATCATCATCGGGATGAGCCGTTCCTCAGGCACGACCCGGCCGTGTTTGGCCAATTTGCGAGCGAACCGCGTCTTCGTTTGCCAGATGATGAGCGCCGCGCCGCAGATGACCCCGATGGTGATGCCGAGGAAGGGGAGGCCGGCGAGACCGGCGTTCGTCCAGCCGCGTTGGCCTTCGAAGGAGATCGGGTATGCTTCGAAGAAGAGGTATAGGATTCCGTAGACGAGGGACAGGTACAGGGTGACGAGGAGGAGGATGGGCTCGAGGAAGAGCATCTTGACTGGGCGTAGGAGGTATTTGCTGACGATGTCGCCCATCGTGGGTCGGCTTCGGTCCAGAAGGGCGTATAGGTCTGGGTTCCCGGTCTCTTTGCGGAGACGGGCGGCGCGTCGTTGGAGGAGGACGGGCGCGTAGGTCTCCGGCACGACGATGAAGGCGAGCAGGCCAAATGCCGCAGAGGCAATCAGGGTGATCCACGCCGTCCACCGCCAACCAAGGTATGAGTCTGTGAGGAAGCCGCCGATGATAGGACCTGGGAGGGATCGTGTTAGTTTGAATGAAAGCGATTTGGAGTGCGAACGGATTTGCGCAGTTGAGAAAGCCACCTACCAAGCACAGGACCCACGAAGGTCGCACTGGCAAACATTGCAATGGCGACCGCACGGTCAACGGGATCCCAATAGTCGGCCAGCGCGCCGCCGACGGTCGCGAGGGGGGAGCAGCCGAAGAGACCGACCAGGAAGCGGCAGATCAAGATAGTCTCTACGTTCTTTGCGAGTGCGACGGGGATCTGGAAGATGGCGAAGAGAAGGTACCCGGAGAACAGGGGGATCTTGCGCCCATACAGCTCCGAGAGAGGCGACCATGCCAGTGGGCCGACTGCGAAGCCAAACACCACCAGACTGGTTCCCAGGATCATGACCTCCTCCGAGACATCGAATTCTTCCGCCGTCACGGCCGTCGCCGTCGAGAAGACACTGCTGGCGAACGTAACCCACATCGTCATGAAAGCGAAGGCCATGGTGGAAATCCATTTCCTCATATAGGGCATGTTGAGGGGGTTTTCCGGGTCATCTGGACCATCCCATTCCACCAGGTTCGGGTCTTTCGAGGGTTCGTTGGCTTTCTCCGAGTGTGGTTGCGGAGCGGCCTCGATATCGTAACCATCTTGCTCGAGCTCTTTGTCGTGGAGGTTCTCGGAGGTCTTCTCGATGTCGCCCTCCGCAGAGACGGAGCTTGAGTGAAGGGTCGAGTCGGAGGACTGCAGCACCACCTCGTGGCTTTGGTCAACGTGAGGGGCTGCGATGTTGGTGTCCGGCATGGCACCGGTGGTATGTTGTTCGTCGCTCATTTCCGTGGTTGCGCTCGCGCGGGAGCTCCACAGCGATCCGACAGTATATTTTATACACAGTATAGTATAACAGAGGAGACCAGACAGGGGGCGGGGGGGAAGAGGAGAGGGTGGTAGTCTGCAGGTCAGATCCCGGGTGGTATATATGGTAGTGAAAAAGAGGGGGTATGATCTGCTGGACCAGGGCCATGTAGACATTTTAAACGATGGAGCTTGAACCAGCAAGTGGGCCTCTCCAGCCAGACTGACTCTAGCCTGGAGATTAATGGGCGGCATCACTAGCTAAAACCCGGCGGCGTTAGGACTTGGTTCAGCGCGAGCCCGTCGCCAGTCTCCACCGGACCCATGGATGATGGATGGGGGGCCCTATCAGTAGTGCTAGACTGACTAGTCTAGATAGCAGTAGTATCATGGACATCCCAGTCACCGACGCCGAGCTGGCTTGTATCACAGTAGTATCAGACAGACTACCCATGGGAAGGATGAAAGAGTACGACACTGATACATCCTAGTACTTGGGCCTTGGTTGCCGTTCATTCCGAACCAGGACCAGGGTCCTCGTATGCATGCTCGCCATTGGAGGCTGGTGGTCTGCAGGCCAGACATGACGCGGGCCCAATTAATAATGTCCATTCGGGCTGCACAACGGACAACCACACATATACACACATCCACACACCCACACATCCACACATCCGCCCTTGGTCTTGGGGTTGGAGTGCGAGGTGCTAGTGTCAGGAGTCAGGATGCGACAATTTGACTCAGTATGGCACGCCTACATCTCGCTCGCGGGTCTCGCGTTGTCGATGGCCCCGAAGTCCCGACCTGACTCGTTCAAGGTTATCGTGATTGGACCCGTGCCCACTCGTACCCGATATCTTGGCGCTTTTATCTCGGGTTCTCGACGTTTCTCTGGACGCTAGAGACCTCGTGTCTGTCAGCGCGCTGCTGAAGCTGATGGTCTCGGCTGTCAGACGGACCGATGCACGCGCTAGGAAGAGCCTCTGTAATCCGTATATGCAAGATTACATGCCTGGGACCTAGATGGGGAGGTAAGTAAATCGATACCTATGTCATAGCACATCATCCCTCTTTGTTTTGTTGTGTTGTGTTGTGTTGTGTTGTGTTGGTCAGCAGAGATTCGTCATCATCCTCTTGCACCATCCGATGGATAACAAACGCGAAGCCCGAAGCGAAGCCCGGTGCGGCCTAGCGTCGCGCGTGACTGGAGTCGACCCTCAGGCAGGCCTTGACCGGGCGGATCCCGGCCGGGGTGGACCCGCGGTTAAGGGGTTCCGGACTTAAGCCGGGCTGTTCCATGGCTTCGGTTTCTAGACCTACTGATAAGAGAAAAACCTCTTTCTCTCTCTCTCTCTCTCTCCAACCCTGCAATTATAACCAACATCCCCGATCTATCTCCTCCGTGCTCAACTCTATAATAACCAGCCAAACACAAACACACACAAAAACACCTACATATATATCTACATCAACACCCAACCCCCCAAATCAGAGGATTCACGCCGTCAACAAACCCCCTCCGGAGTAGACTATTATAAGTGTTTACCCGCCCAAACTAAGACCATGTTTCTAAATCTATCCAAAGTAGCATCTATCTACTCCGTATAGTTAGAGTGTTAATATGAAATGAAGCACGATAAGCCAAATCGATCAGCTGATGTGATCTCTGGTGCATTAGTAGTGAGGAATTAGAGTAGTAGCCTTACCAATCGGCGCCCTACGTAAGCGCCTCCCTGCAGGCTGCAACACCTCATCCCATAGATACAGGCTGTTTTAGTTAGTTAGTCATACTTGGTCTGCTTACAAAGTACTCCATCCCATATCTGTCTGGTGCGGTTAAATCCTCAAACCATGGAATGAACCAGAATGTTAGCCCGGTAGAAGAAGAGAAATCTTCTAAAAGAAATTCAAGAGTAGTGATAATCATGATGATGATGATGAAACGGTTGCCATGACTAAGCCTTATTAACTATTCACCATTGAATGGATGAATAAAATAGCATGGTGTGGCATGGCATGGCATGGCATGACATGACATACCTAGTATTTCTACGCAGTGCCATCTGGTAACTACGGAGTAGGATGATGGTATCTATGACCGTAGATAGTCCGTAGGTATGTAATTAGTTAGGTAGAGTGACATATCGCATCAATTCCTCCACATCTTGCAAATAATGACTCCTTCTCATTCCGCCGTACTTACCTCGACGACCCATCATTCTTGCAATTTTATTGACCTGATTCTGATACAAACCCATGCACATTGCACTCACCACTGATAGATACATAGGATTCAGGCCCAGGACAGGCAGGACCCACACCCATCCAAGCGAGATCCATACCCAATCAGGAAACCAAGTCGGCCTGTCAGTGGATCATTCCGTATAAGTACGTACCGTACTTTGTATATTTTGTCCGGGATGGGATGAGACGAAACAAGACGAGATGAGATCAGATGAGATGATCACGCCTCCTGCACTCAGCACTGGACAGGTAGGTAAGTAGCTGTTAAACGCCCGGACGGATGGACGAATGGACGGGCCCAGCCGGGGACGAAGATCGGGGGGGCATCCGACCGAGGGAGACCGATATCTATCTATTTCTCTATCTATCTATCTATCTAGTCTGCTCTGTATGCTATCTGCCTGCCTGTCTGTCTAGCAAACAAACAAACAAGCTAGATACCTCTCTGTGATAGGAGAGAGATACCTATGCACTTGCACCATACCACAACATACACAGTAAGTATATATGCGATTCGGTATATATACATGTATGTATCTGCCTAGTCCAAGTAACTAAGCCCAGTAAGTAGATATCCCAGTCTCCCAACTACCCACACCATAAATAAGAAACCGCGCTGGACTCAGCTTGGGAACCCGTGCATGCAACGCCACGACCTGAACTAACCAGCTACGGTAGCGGAAGTGGGGAACGAGGGGGGGGGAGGTTGCAGATCGGTGCTCGGGGTTGATTAAATTCGCTGTTTAATGTGCAGGAAATAATACTAAGTAACTAATTGAGTATGTAGTAGGCCGCGTGTTTAGATGAGGTGATCGGTTGATATGTCGATGTTGACTTGGTTGGTTTTGCGGTCGTTTGTTTTGGGTAGGTTGGGTGATTGGTTGGTATGTAGGTGGTTGGTGATGTGATGGGGGGATGGGGATGAATTGATATGTAGGGGTGGGATGGATGGATGGATGGATGGGTAGATGGTTTGAGAGGAAATAGTGTGGTTTAGACTTGGAAGATGCTAATCTAACCGCCAGCATCTGGTACTACTCCGTACAACTGGGCGGCATGTACCTACGCGACACTACTCATTGTGCAAGTCATAAACACCAGGCAAATCGCCCAGGATGTGCCGGCAATCCAGCCAGCAAATGCATTAATTAATAGAACCAGCGCCATCACATCACTATATATGAAATGCAAGATACTGCTGCGGTATGCTGCGCCCGACACGAGCCTCCCTACCGGCGGTAGATTCCTGAATGGGTATCCAAACATTGTTCCGTGCGAGATCCCGCCGACGAGTAGTCACAAAAAGAAACGCCGAATCGCTTGTCCGTCCCAGAACCAGATCAATGGCTGCAAAACGCCCGCAAATGCAATACGCTAGTCATGAATCAAGAGCTGTCGTCGATAGGGTCATTCACTTCTTTGCGTTGCTTCAACGCATCCACGGCTTTGCCGACCTCGTCCATGGCCACACCCTCGAGGGTGGCCCTGGCGTCGGCTTCGATGGATTCCACACCTCCCACTCGCTCGTATAGCATGCGAGAGATCGTTCGGTTGATGTCTGTATATTCGTCTTTGGTCACGATCTTCGAGCGATAGAAGGGTTTGAGCGCCGTGCCGACTAATTTCTGAATGTCGGACTTGACATTAAGGGAGGGGCCGGGACGAGTCGGTGAGCTGTCGTTCGACCGAACGACTGCCGACCGGGTCCAAGACCGAGGGACCCGACGGTTCCGGAGGCCCAGCGGGATGCGTGACGGCAGTTCTCCATCAGCATCTCGAGCAGAACCGGCGGGAGATACATCGGGTGAGAAGGGTGGGGAGGAGAGGTCAGTTGGCGACCCGAGTTGAAGGGGAGAAATGGGCCTGCTGCGGGAATACGGTGGCGGCGTGGTACAGGATAAAACCGGGGAGGAATGGTTGGAGGGAGCAGGCGAGATGGAAGGGGAAGAGGGTCCGGGAGTGCCGTGGTCAGTGGGCGCAATGGACGACTGCGCAGAAAGACCTTGGGAGATGATCCCGTTCGGAGTGGACGAGTCCTCGACCTCTTTCAGAAGAGATTGGAGAAAGCTCGGTTCGCTCGAGCCTTCAGCATTGATGCGAGCAGAGGCCTGCGCACTAGCAGCCCTCGATGACTCGCCGTTCTGGGTGGCACGTGCCGCCAAGTCTTGGGCCCTGCGAGTCCGAGGCCGCTTGAGCTTGCGCTCAGGTTCAGTGGGCTCGGGCGACGGTGACATAGTAGGCTCCTTGCGTTTGCGCGCGGCGCTGGGATTATTCTCGATTTCGCGCGCCCGCTCAAAAGCGTTCCAGGCTCTCATTTCCTCGAGGGACTCGGGTTCAGGCGTGGGCTCTCGCGGCACGCGGGGCCGTGAGGGGCGAGGGGCCTCGATGTCCAGCAGGGCGGCAGTGTCTCGGAACCGATTGCTACCGCCCTGTCGCTCAGCAACTTCAAAGCGACGCTGCCAGGCTCGGAACTCTCGCTGGTTGGCCTCGTCCCGCCGTTGCTGTTGTCGAGCACGCTCAGCGACCCTGTCGTCATCGAAGGGAAAGTCGAGGTCAAGATTGAGATGGTCCCAAACAGATTGCCACACACGGGCCCAGTGCAGAGAGTTCATTTGGTTGTTGCTCTGCATACTCCGGAGCTGCGCTCGGGTGCGACGGCCACGCCTCTCCTGTGGCCGAGGTCTATCGGCCGTCTCAGGGGAGCGTCCGAGCCGACGTTGATTCTCGCACCGAGAGCAGTACCAGGACCCTGAGGGTATGGTGTCGAGGCCGACACAGTATGTGTGGGAGGGAGCATCGCACCCATCGCAAAGGAGGAGAAGGTCTTCATTGTCTGCCTCTCCGCAGATCGGGCAGGGTTGGAAATCGGCGAAGTCATCATCGACATACTCGATGAGCATCGAGGGATCGACCTCCGCCACTTGCACCCGGTCCTGGACATTGTAGGAAGAAATCACGGGACCTGTTATCGGAGAAGACCAGTTAGTCGGTGGATACTCGAAAGAGCGGTGGGGACCATCCGCCGAGTCAATGTAAACGGGGGGGGGGGGGGGGGGATGGGTCGAGGACATACCTCCGAGTCGGTCACTCAGCTCGACGATATTGAAGCTGCGGCGGCATATGGGACAGCTGTTGGCCCGTTCGACCCAGGGCTTCAAGCAGTTATTATGCAAGATATGCCCGCAAGGAAGCAGCTGGGCGATCTGACCTGAATCCTCGGAGCCATCTACGCCATTTGCCTTGATGGAGGAGTCCGCGGACTTGCCTTCTGCCCCCAGGTCAAGTCTTGGCGCGGCCCCGGCGACGACGGCAAGAGGATCGCTGGCGCTTTCGCCAAGGTCTCCTAAGCACACAATACAGGTGTCGGACATTAACAGAAGGGGATGTGCCAGAACTGTCTGCAGATACGCTGAGAGAAGGCATGAAGAGCAACCGCAGAAGGGATAGAAGGCAGAGGCGTGGGAAGGGGAAAGGGAGAGAGAGAGAGAGTAGGTCGAGTGATGTGGGGAGAAAGCAACCGGCCTTTTGAAGGTGGACCGGCCCTCCGGTCTAACGCAATGCAGTCTGGGCCCCAACGTGACCATCACGCCCCCTGCCCAATCAGGGCGGGGGGTTATCCGCCTCGACGCCTTAGTCACCCGCCCTGGGTTGAAGGCGCGCTGGAAGTCCCGGCGAAAAATGCCATGCCCTTGCAGCAGCTGAGTACCTGTGCATGGGCAGGGCCCCTCTTTTGGGAGAGCTGGTCAACTGCCGGTGTGACAACACCTGGAAGGTGCCCTGGAGCTGGTAGTGGTGGTGAGGCCTGCGCTGGCAGACGACTATCTACAGGACACGCCGGTCTTATCGGCCCCTCTGAAACCCACCGTGCCTGGCGGACCACCATAGATATATTTATATCATATTTAGCTGACGCAACGGCACTTGATTAAGGGAACAGACATACTACGGAGACCCCCTCTTGGGAAGTCTGGCCGCTCCGGACGACGGGAAGGATCGTAATCACCAGAATGACCAAGAATGGGAACCAACAAAGTTACTTAGCAGGAGCCTAGTAACCTAGTACTCCGTACCCAGTAACCTTGTCCCTAGTGACTTGTTCCCCTTACGACATGCTTGGCCGAGCCTCCCCCCTCCACCTCAGCACGAACACCATCGCCCCGGCGAACACTCACATGCCGCGGCCATGTATTCGTCAGAAGGTCCCATCACGAGGGGGTTTCCAGATCGACGGCGACACCCCAGGGGTAATACGAAAAAGAAATAAAGTAAAATCCAACGGCACTGGCCGGTCGGCTAATTGGTTCGAGGAACGAAAGTGCAGGATCTGAAATCACCGGTGGCATTTAAATCTATTGGTGGTGGATCTCGACCAACAAGGTAGTCGGCACTATCTGCATGCATCGACTAGCGGCCCGAGTGGGAAAAAAAGAGGAGGATTGCGCTCGTAGTAGAAAACTTCCAGATCACATTTTCTCATTTTTTAAATTTAAACGTAAGGAAAAGGATATCCCATCATCACATTTAAACCTCCGCGATTTCTCTGAGACGGCGGATGGTGGAGCGGGTGGCAGCGGCGGCGGGGGTACTGTAGTACAATCCCACTGATCAGTATATACGTCACGTCGGGCGGGCGGGCGGACTCCCTGCACAGTCCCAAGTCCCAACCGGGACTGGATGTGTGTTTGCAAGCAAGCCCCTCATGGGGTCGGGGTCGGGGTCGGAGTCGACTTACGAGACGGTGTAGGCACCACCGGCAACGACCTTGTTGCAGCCCTTGCACTCCCAGATACCAACAGCCTTGCGCTTAACGGTGTTCTTACCGCAGAAGGTGCAGACGTAGCGGGCGTGCTGGGACACTTCCATCTTCTTCACCTGCTTACGCAGGGAGGCACCGTATCTGTTATCACACCATCGTCAATATCGTTTCTTGCTTTCGTCTGTAGTAAAACTCGAGTCGGATCTGTGCTCGTCGATGGCTGTTGCCGGAGAGAAATCGCGATCGACTGGGAACCGAATTTTTTTTCGAGTCGTGTTGGGAGAGCGAGGCTGCCTACCTGGTACCATATTTACCCGTGATACCGACCTCTGCGAGAAACGTTAGTATTTCATTCTGAATTGTCGTAGATTTTATAAAATCCAGTCCTCTGTGCTTGAAGGCTTAGGGGAGGCACGTACTCTTGGTGCGCTTCGTCATCTTTGCGGCTGTTGAGGTCGAAGATGGATTCAGTGCGGTAAGACGAAATCAAGACTGAGGCTTTCTACTCGGGCGGGAGTGGTTGTGGGCGGGCTCGCTTAGGGCTGGAGCGACGGTCACGTGGACATCAGGCTCGGATGACGCAGAGCGCTCGTCGTGCAGTGTATTCGATGTACACGGTCCAGCTGGTGGATAAAAAGAGATTTAACGTAATGGAATATTGGATGACCTCATTGCTCTTGATTCCATCTGCTTCTTCATTTAGATCGCCATGGTCTGGCCGTTGTGCGCGAATCTATCGATTTCAATGCGGCGACCACGAGAATGTGCGCACAATTGTGGCATTACGTAATGTAGCACAGCATAGTTAATATCTGCCAAGGCCCTCAGGCTCTCAAATTCCTCCGGCTCTTGGGCTCCTAAGACTGTAAGGCTCCAAGGCTGTGCAGGATTCAAGCTAGTCGACTTTTGTCGGAGGGTGTCTTCGCATCTTTGTCAGCCTTTCTGCAGCATGTAACTGCGGAGTAGATTGTATCTCAATTAGACTGTCCGTCAACTTGATATCTCATCCCATGCTCTGAACACTATGGCCATACCCCTCAAATTAACCAGGCAGCACATGCCTCGGCCTGTGTTCTGCATCGGGTTAGCCCAGTCCGGCCTGAGGAACCGGGCCATCACTTCCACGTCTTAAATCCTGGCTTCAAGCCACCTTGTATCTATCCAATATCTATATGATCCATAGCACACGGTTGCCAACCACTGGACGAACCGCCCAACATAGAAATCAATTGAATTCTTCTGTGGACTCCCCCCCCCACCCCAGCATACAAGCTGTACATACTACCCACCGCAAATTCCATCTAGCCCCGACCCCGACCCCGAACCCATGGAATCCAAGCCATACGACGTGGTCCTCTTGGGGCCTACCGGCTACACAGGACGCTTCTGTGCGGAGCACATTGTCAAGCACCTGCCCACCACCCTGAAGTGGGCGCTGGCCGGTCGCTCGCTCCAGAAAATAGAATCCATAGCCCAGGAGCTGAAGGCTTTGAACCCGGATCGCGCGGACCCCGGTACTTGATCCATTCCACATCCCACCCTAGATGCTGCGTTTCATTGCGTGTCTGATGAATGCGACTGTTAACTAAGAGAAGATGTCCTGGCTGTGCAACTCACTCGCGAGGAGCTGCACCCGCTCGCGCAGAAGACCCTCGTCATCATCAACTGCGTGGGGCCTTACCATCTGTATTCCACGCCGGTGATCGAGGCTTGCGCCAGCAATGGAACACACTATGTCGATGCGTCAGTGGTTCCCTACCTCTACTCTACACATTCCTAACTAACTATCTCACAGCACGGGAGAAACACCCTGGGTCAGGGAGATCATCGAAAAGTACCACGAGACAGCCAAGGCGAACGGGGCTATCGTATGTATCCCATTATCCCTTAAGCCACATCACATCGCATCGCATCACCTAACCACACCAGATAATCCCATCCGTGGGCATCGAAAGCGCCCCAGCAGACCTACTCACCTGGGCCTTGGTCAAGCGCGTCCGCGAAGACCTCTCCAGCCACACGAGGGAAGTCATTTGCGCGATCAACGAGATGACGTGAGTCCCCCATGCCCATGCCCATGCCCATGCCCATCCCCTCCCCCCCCCCTCTCACAAACCACCCTAACAACCCCCCTCAGCTCCTCCGGCGCCAGCGGCGGCACACTCTCCACAATACTCAGCACCTTCGACACGCTCACCGTCAGCGACCTCCTCAAATCCGCCTCCCCCTTCACCCTCGCCGCCTCGGCCCCCCCCAGCGACATCCCGGCGGAACCCCTCCTAGCCAAACTCTCCGGCGTCCGCTCCGTCCGGGACATGGGCACCCTAACGACCTCCCCCTCCGGCCTAGCCGACATCACCATCGTGCACCGCAGCAGCACCCTCATGCCGGAGTTCTACGGCCCGCGGTTCTACTTCCGCCAGTTCCTGCGCGCGCGGAACACGCTCACGGGGATCCTCTTCCACTACGTCTTTCTGCTCGCCGTGTTTCTGTTGATTCTTCCGCCCGTGCGAGCCCTCGCGCGGAGATATGTGTATGCGCCGGGTTCCGGGCCCAGGATCGAGGACTCGGTTAATGATCAGGTGGAGTATCGCGCTGTGGCGACGGCGGATCAGGCCGGGGTGGCGCCGAAGCGCGTGTTGGGCAAGTTGACGTATCGGGGTACGATGTATGCGTTTACGGGGATGTCGTTGGCGGAGGCGGCGATGGTGTTGATTGAATGTGAGGAGAAGGTTAGGAGGGTGTCCAGAGGGGGTATTGTTACTACGGCTACTCTGGGGCAGGAGTTTGTCGATCGTTGGGAGAAGGTCGGCTGTTTTCTTGAGACGAGGGTTGTGGATTGATTACTTACCTACCTACCTACCTATCTACGTAGGAGTATTGGTGTTTCTGTGGGGAGGGGGGAGTAGGGAGTGTTTTGTTGGTTGGTTGGTTGGTTGGTTGGTTGGTTGGTTGGTTGGATGGATGGATGGATGGATGGATGAATGGCTGGCTGTAGTGTTTACGCATGATGTATTTATATTTATATTCATATTATTCATTGTTGTACAACCGAAGGTAATGAACGCATTTTGCATCCGCAATTTATATCTCACCCACCAAATCAGTACAGCCGATCCCTTCCTTCCCTGAAACCTAAGGTAACCTTGCAATGTACATAAATATATACCGTAAGACAGCAGCGCCATCAGTCCGTCCATTCCATCCATAGTAGGCCGCTGGCGGAAGTTACCGCGAGGTTGTGGCCAGTTGTGGCCAGTTGTGGCTAGTTGTGACCAGTTGCATAACAGTTCCTAATAGTTGCTGACTAAAATAAATAGTAAGCATCCCTATTATACTGTATATAATAGTTATTACACTATTTTGAAACTATATTTAAGAAAACAACAAGAAAGTAACTGTTTGAAGCTTATTTTATAATTATTTATTATTATTAAAAGCTTATTACTTTTCTATTTCTAATCTATCTACAAATAATTATATTACTATTTCTTTTTTTTTATAGTAAGTAAGTTCTCCACAGGTTATTCACTGAATCACTGTTACCTTACTGTCAATTCACTGTCAATTTACTATCAATTCACTGTTACTTCACTCTCTTCTTATATATATTACATCTTTCTCTCTTCTCATTCTCTCACTCTTTCTCTTCTCTACATCACTCTCTTAAGTTGTTTCTGTCACTTCCTCCCTCCCTCTCTCTCAATCTTTTACTATCTCTCTCCTTTACACTTCTTCTTCACAACTAGACCGTCATGGAGAAGGCTACCAGCATCAAAATGGCAGAAACGCCCGAAACGCCCGAAGAAACAGTCATCCATTGGTCGAGAGGTGAGCTGAAATGCTTTTGCAGACGACGCAAGGAGACAGTACTAATATGGAAGAAATAGGTAACAAACACAGCTTAGAACCCTCCTCTGCAAGCAACAATACAGCAGAGGTGACAGCGGCACAGGAGCTGGCCAAGAAAGGCAAAAGGGGACTGCTGGAGTTACTGAAACTCAATTCCGAAGACGACTGGAGGGAGTGGTTAGTGTCAGACTTAGTCAAACCGTACTGGCTAGAACTTTGGGACTATCTGGCGAAAAACCCGACTGCTAAGCAGAAGCGCGGAGCCGGGCTGGCCCGGATCCAGGAGCTAATAATTAAAGGAGAAGCACGGGGCGTCGCGAAATACAGCCGTCGCCATGTCGAGAAAACCGGATGGGATCTTAACGAACACCTCGCATACTTCGTCCATAATGTGAGATCGGAAAACACGCACAGACGGGGGGGAGTGTTCTTTCAGAAGAACCTCCCTGAGAACATCATGGACACGGCAATATGGACTTTGAAGAACATTCTCATACAGATGCATAGCCCGTCGCAAATAAATAAGCCAAGTGGCGGAAAGGCGATTTTCGGGGAGACCCTGCCAGGTAAGAATTCGGGAGC